TAACATCACAAATCCCATATTGTTTTACACCATTTGCAGGTAAAAATATCTTTTGCAATTAGCTTGCAAACTGCACCATACAGGAATTTCTGTTGCTATTTTGCTTTACAGTTTCATTCATTTACTACTGGTTGTTATAATAAAGGAATGTACTATCATAACTTCCTTCAATCACAAGACAGCTCTATTCCAAGAGGTCATCAGGGCTGTCTTCCTGTTGCTCCTTTCTTCTATTGTTTTTTATACTTTGCTTTGTATTCTTGTTCATTTCGACTTCTTCATTTTCTTATCGTTCATTCTTATTCTATCTTCATTTACCATCTTCTACCTTTATCTCTCTTCATTTTTTGTTCTTGCTTTACGTACACAATTTTATTCTTTTCTTAAAATGGCAACCAAATCATCTTCTGGTCTCAGACTCAAACTGGAGAAAGAGCTCACATGTCCTGTGTGTCTTGATGACTATACTAACCCTAAGATCCTACCCTGCCATCACTCATTCTGTCAGCACTGTCTGGAGGGATTACCTCTGGATAAGAAGAATGAGACCTATTACCTCTCTTGTCCCACTTGTCGTCATTGTACAGAGTTACCAGAACAAGGAGCAGGAGCCTTTCCTGTAGCATTCACTCTCAACAACCTCCACAGTCTATTGAAAAAGACTTCGGATCTTCAAGAGGCCACATGTAGTGATCATGAAAAGCCTTTGGAGCTATTCTGTGAAACATGTGATACAGTAATCTGTGTTACTTGTTCAGTTCGTAATCATAAACATCATGAATACGACTTAATCACTGACAGTTATACTAAACACTGTCAAAAGCTAAGGGAATGTCTATCACCAGTTGAGGGAAAGAAGGAAGCACTCAAGAAGGTCCTGTCTGCTCTAGCAGAGAGAGAGGGTGAGATCAAAGAGAGAGGAGAAGGAGTCTTAGAAGAAATACATGAAATGGTGGAGAAAATGATTGCTGTTCTTCGTCAGTCAGAGAGGAAACTGACTGAGCAGGCAAAGAGGGTCACTGATGATAAACTAAAGGTGCTGTCAGAGCAAATGAAATCAGCAAAAATGAGTTTGAGTGTTCTGGAGGATGTTGAGGATTATGTGGAACAGAGTCTGAAGATAGGCAGTCCTCAACAAGTCCTGAGGTCTAAGAAACAGATGATAGAGCGTATGAGTGAAGTTACCGGAGGGATTAATGTGGAGGAGTTACATCCAAAAGAAAAAGGTGACTTTGTATTGAGTAAAGATATCAAATTACTACATCACATTGGAGATATTATTTCAGGGACTACTGCACTACAGCAGTGTAGAGTGAAGAAGATTGATAGTATTATTAGCAAAGCAGCTTCGTTTTCACTATCAATGGAGGCACCAGACTCATCTGTTCTGTGTGTTCCCCTCTCTTCTCTGAGGTGTAGTCTAGTACCAGTTGGTAAAGGTGATGAACCCACTGACACTACAGTCACTACCACCAGTACTGATCCTGGAATGTATAGGATACAGTGTAACCCTTCAACACGTGGTACTCATACAGTAAAAGTACAAGTATATGATGTACACCTTGAGGATATCTCACTAGTCATCCCTATCAATCCTTACCTTGATAACATCACTCCAGTACGTACTATAACTGAGCTTAAGGATCCCTGGGGAGTTGCTGTAACTGATGATAATCATGTTTTAATAACTGAGTGTTTTGGTAATTGTGTAACAATACTGGATAGAGAAGGAAAGAAACTGAAATCATTAGGAGGGAAAGGAGGAAGTGGTAATGTCAAGTTTTCTGAACCTCGTGGTGTAGCCATTAATCCAGACAAATTCATTCTTGTATCTGATAATCACAGGATCCAGAAGATAAGCATGGATGGATACCGTAAAGTATCAGTTGGTAAGGAGGGCAGTGGACCACTACAATTCAGTACTCCTTCTGGTATAGCCATTTCTCCTATAACAGGACAGGTTTATATTGCTGATTGTAGTAATCATCGTATACAAGTCTTGAATCCTGATCTAACCTTCTCTCATTCATTTGGTAGTGAAGGATCAGCTAATGGACAGTTTCAGTATCCACAAGGCATTGCTATTGACAGTCAAGGATTAGTGTATGTTGCTGATCAGTGTAATCATCGCATTCATAAGTTCTCTCCAGATGGAAAGTTTGTGGGTCAGTTTGGTACTAAAGGATCTGGTCCTGGACAGCTTTATAATCCATTTGGTATAACAATAGACACTGCAGCTACTGGTCTAGTGTATGTTAGTGATAGGAACAATCATCGTATATCAGTCTTCACTAGTGATGGTGTGTTTGTTAGTCAGTTTGGAAGTAAAGGCAGGAATATTGATCAGTTTAATTTTCCTCATGGATTAGCATTTGATAAAGATGGATTATTGTATGTTTGTGATTCTAGTCGACTTGTTGTTTATTAAATATTGTTTACTTTTCTTATCCTAATATTATTTTATAATTATTGATAAAATATAAAAGCAAGTTAAAGTTTATAATACTGACTGATCAGCTACTAATAAGAGGATGTAGTGTAATCTCCAATGATGGAGTAATGTGTTTGATGAATTAAAATTGTGCCTAATACAATAATAAAACATAAAAAATTAAAAAAAACAAGATTNGAGTAGGATTCCAAACGACCAACGAAAATATGAAATGAAAATCCTACTCTCGTGACGCAAATTCTACTCTACATTGTACTTGTAAGGTTATTATTTAAGAATTAGAGATCAGCTTGCAATGTAGAGTAGAATTTGCGTCACGAGAGTAGGATTTTCATTTCATATTTTGACTATTTTCGTTGGTCGTTCGGAATCCTACTCAATCTTGTTTTTTTTTAATTTTTTATGTCTTTGTTTGTGTTCATTTTTCAATAATATTTATAATAATTAGTTGCATTTGTGATACTTGTTAATTTTACACAAACAATAATAATAATTATTATTATTATCATTGTTATGAATTTCCAGCATTTATGATCGAGAGACAGCAGTCACAGCATTAAATAGATATGCAGAAGGAATATCTACTATACTGATGACAAGTGAAATTAATACTATAGTCTTGACATGAATCCTTGTTCAAGAAGCTCCATCTTCCCTGCAATTCTGTAGCTATCTATTCCTGTTCTTCCTGTTGTCAAAGTCATAATCATTACATTATTATAACATTAATTAATTGTTTTTTAAATAAAATAATTCAATACACACTTGATAAAAGAATAAGATGCAAGATTAGTACCTTCTCTGAGCTGGAAACCTCCATTAAGTATTGCAATTGATTCCAAGCATAGCTAGCCTGGCTAGGTTAAAAATTGCTTGCTTTTCCCAGTTCTGAGATCTGAGCATGTGCGACCACGCTTAAATTTTGGAGCACATGCTTTATAATTAACAAAATGGTGACATGAGGTAAGCTGGCCTGATACAGCAGTCATAACGTCACTTTTTCTTATCTTGGAGAATAATTTTAGGGGACATGAATCCACGCATAGACTGTTGGAGTAGAATGGTGTAAAAATTATCCTTGTAACACCAGTCAAGAACAAGATACAGCTTACCAACTGAATTGACAGGACTGACTTCTTGATGATGAAGATGAAAAAAGTGGCTGAACAAAACGGCCAGTTTTCAGATTTTTGACTTTCCTCTTAGACAAGGTTTAGAGCTACGCTAATGGTACCAATGGAGTCCTCTGGTCAAGATAAGGTCCTCTAAGAAGTCTGGTAAGCATAGGAGCTTGTTTTCCCAGTATAGCAAGGCTGCAAAAGTCGTGGCAGCCATTTTGTTTGGGGATAAATCCTACTTAGTAACACTACCACGTTACTAATAGCCTTTTGTCTTTGGCCCAATTTGGCCAAATTTTGTCAAAAATGACTCTGAGAGAAATCACCATTTTAATAATTTTTCTGGTACATACACAAATCTTATGTTGCTTAAAAAGTTTGAGTTGATTTAATGAATTTCTAACATTGCTCAAAAATTGGGCCAATGACCAAAGGCATATACATGTATATTATTATATACATGTATAATGATAGTCTTCGGCCAAGTTTCGTCAAAAAAATTGCTCTGAAAGAATCTCAATCTTTATCATTTCTTCTGATACGCATACATGTTCTTATGTTGCATACCAACTTTGAGCTGATTCCGATCAAAATTATATTTTTCATAAATTTTTATGTATTGTATTGTAGTGCTTCTCAGCTCATGAAGCATGTACAAGTGCTTAGCTCACTTAGCAAGCTTTGTGGGAAACTCTGGCCACACTCCTCCCCTTCCTCTAATGCAATGTAAATGGAGTGTGGGTAAGGCTACTTTCCGTTGAATGTTCAAAGCAGATTTCTTAATTACATGTATCATACATGTATAGAGTGCATTCAAATCAGAGATTCAAGAAATGAGATTAGGTACAAAAAGCGATGCTATCTCATCTTACGTAAAAATAGACCTCTTTGGGTGAGAATGAATTACGTCAAAGAATGATATACGGCAAGGGGCGTGACTGAGCTTGTCTGATTCTGAAATAATTTTCGTGGACGGCAACTTTCTATGGAGTATGAATGGGCTAATGCAGAAAGCAAGCTGTAATAAAGAATACTGCTTCATATTGCACCAAATCCCTTTTAGGAGATGCTTAGCAGCGACCATTCTTTCCTCCAGCCAGCTTTTGTAACTTGAAAAAGCTCAATGCCAACGAAAAAAATTAGTTAGTTTGATTTTTCTTCATTCATCCTCCATTGAATCTTGCCGTCCAAAACTGATGGCAGCCAATCATCCCCGCAGGTAGATACCGTAATAAACAGTAATGATATTCATAGGCCACCGTCAATCTCACCTGAGGAGGTCTATAGGAAGAGGAGTCCACACAATAGAGTAAGGATATCTGTTCCTTGAAGTATAGATGGCCCCTTTTGCAAAACTTCCTTCAACGTCCATTTTCTTTTAATCTTTCATTGTTTAAGCCACGCCTTTTAGTAGTTACGACTCCACCCCATCCGCGTGGTACACACATGTGTGAACTGTGGATTAGAAAAGTCTGAAAAGTGAAAAGTTGTTAATTATAGTTGAGCCCAAATGAGTGACACAACTATTCCTTCAGTGGTCTCAAGGGATGGCTGGTTCTCGGAGATAAATGACTTATGGCCTGGAGAGTGTTTCTCTCTCAAAGTGGATGAGATATTGCACCAAGAAAGAAGCCAGTATCAGGACATTATGATCTTTAAAAGGTAACTAAGCTTTAACATACAATGTAAATGCAACTTTATATGTTCTGCGCTTGTAGTAAAGCGTATGGCATGGTCCTGGTCCTTGATGGTGTCATACAGTGTACTGAGAGAGACGAGTTCTCATATCAAGAAATGATAGCACACCTACCTCTCTTCTCTCATCCCAATCCTAAGTCGGTAAGACTCAGTAACGATTCTGTTTGTATTGGAAATACACGTACTATAAAGCACCAAATTGCAGAAAATTTTGGAGGGACTAAAATTTGACAAATTACTAAATTTTGGTTTTAATTCTGCAAATTTTGCCACATACCATTGAGCATGCGTATAATGGCTCAAAATGGCGGATTTTATTTTGGCAATTGGCTATCAAAATGCCAAAATTTGCCTAAAATTAATTCCCTCCCAAATTTCTCATTATACGGTATGTAATCTATATGACGCTCATTTGTTGCTTAATGTATGTATTGCAAAGCTCAAAGCTTGTGTTGTGTCTTCAAACATGTACTTCTGAACTTGTTAAAGGCAGTAGCCATAGTAGCCATAGTAGGCATGCTGATTATGTGGAATATTGTAGGCCTTGGCAATAGAGCCATGATTGATGTACATGGACTAGTATTTGTAAAGTATATTGGATGGCAGGAACTGTAATACTGTGTGGAGTTATGATTATTTAAATGAACGTGCATATCTATTGTTTACATGTATGCATAGTAAATTAGTAATCGTTACCAGTATCTTTATGCATAGATATTAGAGTAAATGAAAGGGATTGGCAACGGGGCGTAGCAACAGGAAATGCTGGTTGTGTTACCATGTGACAACCATCAGTGTTTTGATTGATTTCCCATCTCCTCCATTGGTGAAGTTGCTCTGGCAGGATTTCGAAGGAAATTTGTGCTGCTCCAGGATAGCACTTGCTTTTGATATATAGCCTATTCCACATAGAATTTTTAGAGCTACCTGCAGCAAGGTTTTTATCTCCAAAAAGCCATTTTGCAACCAGTTAGAGGTACACAAAGTCGCCTGTTTTGAAACACTTTATCATTCGTAAAACACTCAAGCTTCTTTGTATTAATATGCAAGTTAGCTCATTCCATAGGAGATTTCAAGCTCTTTAAAATGGTTATACTTATTCGTAGCTCAAGAACAAAATGAGTCTCTCAGAGGGGAAAAGATGGTATTTCTAGTTAAAGAGATACACGGCTACTAACGCATGCATTGATTTACCGAACAAAAAATATTAATAAAAAGCATAAACATTGGTTAATATCGTGTGCAAGTTTTGTTTGTATGAATTGTATTCTCTTGGAGTTATTCAAGAATAAAGCAAGAAAATCCCAGTTTTTTACTCGAAAATTGGTCAAAAAATCCCAACCCTCCTCTGTTTACTTAGCAACAATACAAATGAATGGAGGTTTGCCCACGCCCACGCTTCCGTTTCTAATCCCTTTCATTTACTCTATTATCTATGCTGTATGTCAATTATCATTACAGTTTTCTAAAGGATTTTGGCATAGTGCTCATGCAGCTTCTTTTCGAATTGCTAAAAAATTCGGCCAAAGACCCTGTACTACATGTATATAATACAGAGTACATATTTTTTAACAAAGAAGGAATTGTCCATTTTTTATAATTTTTGTTATGTTATGCATGTTCTAACCATATGTTGAAAATTTCAGCTTATTCCAATTAGATTTGGATTTTTATGAATTTTAAATGTTGCAAAAAATTGGACCAATGACCAAGGGCTAGCCAGCCTTTGTTTTTTTGTAAAAAATTTCGTCAAAAATGGCTTTGAGAAAATCATTTTTATACTTTTTCTGATACATGTACATATGCATGTTCTTTTGTTGTGTACATGTAAGTTTGGATTGATTCCAAATCAAAATTGGGGTTTTATGAATTTTTGAAGTTGCTAAAAAATTGGGCTAAACACCCTTTAGTACTGTATAGTACATGTACATGGATTGACATTCTGTCAAAAATGGCTAGGAAATTTTTATAGTTTTCTCTTTTTTCTGACACTGATACATGTTTTTATGTTGTGTAGAAGTTTGAGCTGATTCCAATCAAAATTGGATTTTTTATAAGCTTAAAAAGTTGCTCGAAATGCCATAATACTGAATTATGGTGCTTGTTAGTTGTCAGCTCATGAAGCATCATTATTATGCTGTTTAGCTCACTTACATGTAGCATGCTTTGTGGCTATGTGGAAAACCCTACATAAGCTACATCACACTTCATTCTTATGTGTATGTACATGTACTGTAGGTACTGATCATAGGAGGAGGAGATGGAGGAGTAGTGAGAGAAGTTATCAAGCACCCCTCTGTTGAACAAGTTCATCTTTGTGAAATTGACGAAGTAAGTGTAATAGGGGATCATCCTATGGTTGTGTGAATTCTTTCCATTACACAGTGAAGACTGGTGAAAAATTAGTATTGCCAATTTGCAATTTATAATTTTATGAGCAATTTTCAGCCTCTATTTTGGCTACAAAAAGTAAACCAATGGTCAAAGCTCATAGCATACATGTATGTATATATAGTTATAATCATGTTATGGCTTTACGATATGTCATGTATTAGCACTGTATACATGTATATTCAGTATTACATTTAATCACAGCGTTCATTCACACTTATTAATTATTGACACTATATTCACATGCATGCATCTGCAACACAGTTACACTTTCAAACTTTATTTAATCAATATGTACTGACACAGCCTGAACAAAGCATTCTAGAACTTAATTTCTGATATAAGTTTATTCTAAAAGTAATCTTTTGATTGTTATTATTGTTGATTTAGTATCTATATTTTGTTAGCTATTGCTCTATCTTTGTACTACCAGTTGTGACTACACATATACTGGTAAACCTACATCAGTATTACTCTATTTTAGCTTTGCTATTTTGGGTTTCAGAATTAGCTCAAACGCATAGCATTTTTCTGGTAGAGGAAACAGTATTATCTATACACTGTACACTATCGCCTACTTAATTAAATGATGTCACATGGGAAATGGCTGTCCTAATTAAATCTTCTGAATAGGATGACCCTCTTTTACTACTACTACTATTTCTAGGAACACAATAATTATTGTATACATGTAATTGTTAGTTTGTGTAATGTAATTTCAATTACCATATAGTGGGAAATTTTGTAGGGAGTTAATTAATTTGGCGAATTTGGCATTTGATAGTCATTAGCCAAAATAAAAATCTGCCATTTGAGCCATTATATGCATGCTCAATGGCACATTGTTCGCCAATCATCAAAATTTAGCAATTCATCAAAATTAACTCCCTCCAAAATTTCCTGCTGTATGTGAAGATACCCAGCAGTGTTGAACAAAACAAGAAATGTATGTTTGTTACCTTATTTCATGTAAAATGATTAAATTTGTTTATATCTTATTATTATTTTTAGCGTGTTATTGAACTGAGTAAGAAGTACTTACCTTCTCTCTCCTCTGCACTTTCATCTCCTAAAGTGACAGTTCATGTTAAAGATGGTGTAAAGTTCTTAGAAGACCATGTCAATGAATTTGACGTTATAATAACTGACTCTTCTGATCCGATAGGTTTGTAAAATTGAGCATCATACATGTATTTTTAAGGGGTAAGCTTTAGGCAAATTGCTAAATTTTGGTGATTGGTGGGTTTTAATTTGGTGTGCCATTGAGCATCCACATAATGGTGTAAAAGGGCAGTCTTTATTTTGCTGTGAAAATGCCAAAAATTGGAAGCTGTACGATATTGACAAAGATAATGACATTATGGTATATAGTGTAAGCCTTGTTTACAATATGACGCCCTGACAATGTACCGTCGATTTTAATCATAAGTACATGTACATGTACATTTATAAGCAATTTGACCTTCTGATTCATATTTCACATTAGAATAGAACTAAATTCTATTCTAGCATCAACGCTACATCAGGACTAGTGTGATATTGTAAATCCACCTTAACATGTACATGCATTATAGGCCCAGCAATTCCTTTATTTGAAAGACCTTATTATGAGAAGACAAAGAATGCATTAAAAGATGGTGGGGTCCTCTGCTGTCAAGGTAATGAATGTCCGTTATTGTGAGCGTAATATACTGTAAAAAATATTCATGTAACAGGTGAATGCGTGTGGCTTGATTTAAAGCTCATTTCCAGTTGTATGTCACACTGTCACTCCGTCTTTCCTGTTGCAAGCTATGCCTATACAACAATACCAACTTATCCTTGTGGACAGATCGGATTCTTCTTGGCTAGTAAAGACAAGGTACTATCTAACATAATTTTCATTTTTAACTTTGTGTTATAGAATATGGTGTTTGAGGAACCAACAAGGTGTGTGAGTGATGAAGAAGTGAAGAGAATGAAACTAAAATATTATAATGCAGCTATTCACAGAGCCTCATTTGTTTTGCCTCAATTTGTAAAGGAGGCATTGCCAAATTGAACATGTATAGCTATCTCTGTTGTTTGCCAATTATAATTTTGTGGCTTCTTCTCTTTATTTATTATCACAAAGTTTTCTCATTATAATGTAGCAACGTGCCTACTCTTACTTCCCAGTTTGAGAGCTGTCCTACATACTGTAGGGTGCCTTTTTTAGGGCTATAGGTTTCATGGATTTTTTTTGTGGATTTAGTTTTTGCAAATTTATGCTGTCTGCCATCTTGTACCGTATTAATTTGATTTTCGTGGAAGTAATTTTTGCGAATTTTAAAGAAAATCAAGAAATTTACAGCCCTCGAAAAGAAGGCACCCTACCATTTTTACAGTATTCAAAGGTCGTTGCACATTCTTTACTTCACTTATGACATACACCAATAAAGTAATACCCACCATTTGTGTAGTCAAAATTTGACCATCCATATGTTGACTAACTACACTATTATACACATGCGTACCTATATGTATGGTACTAACATAATATAGAGGGTTAAACCCTTGTAATCTTCATCCTGTTTCACAAGAGGCTTTGAATTTGTGTTAGTCACATAATGAGAACTAATAAATTGAGATGTAATGTGCCTTATGTTCTACATTTGTTAGCTGTATGTGCTATATACATGTAGCTGTGGAAAGAATTCATAATTATTCCTCTATAACTACTAACTTACTCTCATTTGAGCATACTTTTCATTCCATTAATTACACATTTTCCTCCAGATGTGTCATTCATCATGAACTTAACATTGAAAATGAGAGCCAAGTTAAAATCCAGTGTAGTATGAATGCAGTCAAAAGTTACTTCCTTAATTGGTTTACTTGGAAGTAGGGATCTATGTATAATTTCAAAATTATCCTAGCATGGCTACTATCCAGGATCATTTCCTATTCCAATACAGATTTAGCTATAACGTTAGATTACGTGTAGTAGGCTCTACAGGGAGTTTTTTAAAAACAATGTTTTGCTCTTACTCCAAATTTTCATCAAAATTAACTTTTGCCATTAAAATTTTCATCATTTTTACTATTAATCTGCATACTACCCACATGGAAAAAAAATTTCATGGGTTAACAATTTCGTCACACAAAAAAACCTGACGAATTTGATGTAAATTTTTTTACCAACAAAAATCTGGAGCTATACAGTATGTATTGAAGATATGATTACTTTATTACCCAGTAAGTGCATACATGAGAGGCTAGTTGTTTTAGTACCGTATGGCGGGTAAATTTGGAGGGGCTAAATTTTGGTGATTGGCAGGTTTTAATCTGGTGAATTTGTGGCCACGTGACATTGACCATGCATATAATAGCTCAAAATGGTGGGGTCTTATTTTGGCGAATGGCTATCAAAACACCAAATTCGCCAAATTTAATTCCCTCCAAATTCACCTGCTATACGGTATAAAAGTGAGTTTGACAAGAATTTCCACACAATAAAACTAGAGCCTATATATAATAGATGTGTATGTTTGAGCACTGCCCTACACTTGTGATTATATATGATTTAGTACTTTCAGTATAGTGTATTTTTCTTTAATACCTACATACATGTACCTACAGTGAATCAAGTGGTAATATCCAGAACAGAATTTGAAATTAAAAATATGCATGTAACCCAGCCATCTAATTTCATCGGATAATGTGGAACATAGTTCTATTTTAAAAAAATACCTTTTAAGGTTATAATTACAGTCATGTGAACACTAAATTAACCATTTTTTCTTGGTGTCTCGTTATTCTAATATAGCTCTTTGAGGAAGCTCAACAAATACAAAGTAGCTTAAATATGACAGTACAAAGAAACCCCAAGCAAATAACCAGAGCAGAGCAATGATGTCCAATATGAGAGCAGCTTGACCAAACCTCTTAGCTTGCAAATAATGTTGTACACCTTTTGCTCTATGCATCCAAGACTACAAAAATAGAAAAAAGTAAATAAGAAGCCACTGCAAAACAATATTTGAGGAGAATTAAATTTTGTGAGATTGCCAAATGCAATTTTTCTATTATCCGGAAATAATGAATTTCATGCATGACCCCAGTACAATAACTGTCAAAACCGTAAAATTTAAGTGGAGTCACAAAATTTGCTTTTACAAGTTATAGCTAGATCTACCTGCATGGTATTAGTAAAGTTCAGCATATTTTTACTTACCAGTATTGAACAGATCATGGCAGCAGCAATGAAGAAGATTGTAGAGAAGTTGCAAACAGTACAGGCAATAGAAATAACAAGTGTTGGAATGAAGTAATCGTTAGGAACAAATTCATACTGTAAGTGAACAACAGGAGGAACTGTGTGCTGTGTCACACCTGCCTAGAATGCAAATCACACAATGAATAATTGCCTAAATTGGTATGGATAACTAAGTGCTATTACAAATACTATTGCAGACTATTCATAAATACAATATTACAATCTGTAGTCTCCAACATAACAGCATGCACATTATTATGCACATCAATTAGTGTTTCAAAAGCCTACTAACCAAAGGGACCAAAATTGTACAAAATAATAATAGTTCATGGATTGGAACCACTTTTTGCCACCCCTTATATATAGTATCCATAATTTTTCACTAGCCACTGAACTGTATTGATACATAAGCTATATAGTGATAAAATTTATGGCATAGCTAACACTGCTGACTGATTCCTCTGGTCCTAAGAGCTAGAGTTACCTGAACTGGAACTGATTGTGGAACATTCTTTTCTTCTTGGACAGGTGGCATCAACATCCTTGCTGCTTAAGTCTATATACAACCAATGTCAGAACGAGTCACAGACAAACTGCAGACTGAGAAATGCTGAGCAGTGAGCAACTGAGCATACATTTGTATGGTTTACTTACTCTCATAGAATAGTGTCACTTCCTCTAGATAATGAAATTTAATTACTAAACTACTTTCCCAGTCAATACAGGAAAAATTATTGGACTGACTGAGCTTAATTTTTATAAAGTATTGGAGGAGCATAGACAAATGCAATTAAACCCATCATAGATTAATTATATTGTAACTCTAATATCTACGAACCCATGTATCAAACCATTATTGTGAAGTTCTTTCATTAATGACTACAAACTTTTGGAGTGCATTTTGCCCTTTTAAAAATTCAAATACTTCTAAAATACACATTGTGGTGAGGGTATGCACTTTAATGCTCTCGTTTGAGAGTCATTTATAGGTACTGTAGCTATGTTGTCCTTCTATTATTCACTATCCGCTGAACTTGATGTTCCAAATTTTCACAAACCATCAAGCCCACCTAAAAATCAATTTCACAGGTTTTCATTTTCAAATCATTTTTAAAACCAAACATTTTAGGCCAAAAACATTTGACTCATTGTGTGAATATTTTCAATTTTTCATAAAGATAATTTAAGCACTTTCACTTCAGTCATGATAAAATACTACCATCCTACTCTTTCTGTAATTATAGTTATCATAAAATTTGGCTCATTTTGATTAAATTCTACGCCCATAGTCTACCTTGATAATGGTGTGTTAATGAGTTATGGGATTTCAATCCTAATTATTATTTGTCAGTGCTGTGAATTACAGTGAATTGGCCTCAGTGAATCAGTGTTTATGTTATAATCACACAAAGAATATTGACTCTGAAATGTGCGGCAGTTTGTGCAACCCTTGTGTTCTTGCTTTTGGCTATAATATCATGATTGAGCTGCATTGTTATGCCGGTGCATGGGAGTGCTGCTAAGAATTCCATTGGCAATTACATCACTCAGGCTATAACAAGACTGATGTAATTAGGAAAAGCCAAGATGCTGCTTGCACAAACTTCCTATAGTTTTTAAAAGATTGCATATTCATTGTCAACCATCAAGAATATCAACTCAATTCTAGTGACTGATTATATTGATACAAAGTACTTACATATGATAGTACAAAATTACACTATATTTATGCTATCAATGGACTCTTGATGCTATTTATGATCTATTCATGATCTCTATTGCTACCAATGCATAATTGGTCAGTCATTAGGGATGAGCCTATTATTCTAGCATAATTTTAGGAATAATAGGGGCTTCCTCATTTGAGGAATAATGCTGGAGTAATTGGATGGAAATAGGAATAATAGTGGAATAATGGGTGGAGTTGAGGTCAATGGTGATTGCAGAAGAAAATTTTAAAACTTTTGGCTAGTGTTTTTTGGAAGACCTATTTTTAAAACACTGCTGGAATGCAATTCTTGGGTGAAAATTGATTGTTTGAAAAAATTATTGAGAATAAATTGAGAATAATAGGATAAAATGAAAAGAATAATGTGGGAAATTATTAAGAATTTCCAGAAAGAATAATGGGAAAATTTATGAGAATAATAGGCTCAACCCTATCAGTCATGGCCTGACCAATCTGATTATGCACTATGACATCACAATGAGTGTGACACTATTCATGAACAAGGTCAGAGTCACTTCCTTTCATGAATTCATTTCTCCCAGATGATAATAATTTCATAATGGTCGTGCTTCTTTTGTTGTATTCTATCACAGGCAATTGAAACATGCAGTTGCTTCTTAAATACCTTCGTTACAAAGCATAAACGTGCATGTTTTGAGGTAGAGTAGGCAGGACAGTATAACATTTATATACATGTACACTGAGATTATTAAATTAATAGTTAATTCGAGGAATTATTACATATACAAAGTAGCTTAAGTATGTCAGTACAATGAAGCCCCAAGCAAATAACCAGAGCAGAGCAATGATGTCCAATATGAGAGCAGCTTGACCAAACCTCTTAGCTTGTAAATAATGATATACACCTTTTGCTCTATGCACCCAAGACTATAAAAATAGAGCAACAGTAAAAGAAGCCATGAGCTATTTAATTGCAAAAACAATATTAGAGGAGAATTAAATTTTATGAGTTTGTTGATGCAAAATTTACATCCCCAAATAATGAAATTCCCACATGACCTCAGTACAATAACTGTCAAAACAGTAAAAATTTAAATGGAAACGCAAAATTTTCTTTTCAAAATTAGCTGCCTGCATGGTCTACTTACCAGTATTGAACAGATTATGGCAGCAACAGTGAAGATGATTGTAGAGAAGCTCACAATAGGACAGACAATAGCAATAACTAGTGTAGGAATGAAGTAATCGTTAGGAACAAATTCACGCTGTAAGTGAATAACAGGAACTGTGTGCTGTGTCAAACCTGCCTGGAATTAAATAAATAGTGCAATGGCTAATAATTGATGTTGATAATTAAAGTGCTATTATTAGTAAATTCATGAATACAATATTTCAATGTACTAGCCTCCATGCACATTATTATGTAGTCAGGTGGGCCTGACCCTCGCAAAGGAGGAGGTTCAGGATCAATCCAACACTCTTTTTCATGGCACTGCACAGATTTGTGCAGTGACGTATCATGAGTCATCACGAGTCAAAATGAAAATGGCGGGTTCGAACGGGACCTTTCTAGCAGCAAAACAAGGCAAAGACAATGTCTAAGAACTTTTCTAGAGACACTGGAAGATACAAAGGACCTTAATATGTCTTTTTAAGAAGAAATAGAGGCCTGTTATGTGTTTATGGTAACGAAAACGATCCGGCTGTTAGGAACATTTTACCGTGGCACTTCTTAACAATTGTTAAAGAGGTTTTCATTTTTCCCCAGCTTCTCTAACTCATGTAAACATTAAAGCAAGCCCTTTCACCATCTTTTACAAGTGCAATTATATCTATGCCAATTTAGACCTAGTTCTATTGAATTGCTCAAAATGGGATCTTTCATATGGTTTATTTATGACTGAGTCTAGAGAAGGAGCCTGAAGGAAACTGATTTGTATCATCTTTCAGCCCAAGAAGCACCACTACTACATTTTAAAATAGCCAAATGCAAGTATAGAGCCCCACCCAAGCCATAAAAGTGTACACCAAAAAACAGTGTTGGATTGGTCCTGACCCTCCTCCTTCGTGAGGATCAGGCCCGCCTGACTTATTATTATGCATATCAAGTAGTTGCATAAGCCCCACCAACACAAGCACAAACCATGGGGACCAAAATCGTACAAAAATTATTATAATTATTATAAATATGGCGGCTCATGAATTGGAACCACTTTTTGCCATAGTCAGGGTCACAGGCCAAACTCAACCCATGAGACTATTTTTCCACCCCTTTAATTTTCACTAGCCATCAACTAAGCCCAATATTGATAAACAAGCTTGCCTTAATCAGTGATAAAATTTATGGCATAACTAGCTGATTCTCAGTGCTGTAGTCTAAGGTCCTAAGGATTAGTTACCTGGACGGGAACTGATTGTGGAACATTCTTTTCTTCTTGAACTGGTGGCATCAACATCCTTGCTGCTTAATTCTACAACCGATGGCTGTCTTAAGTGTCTTTTGCCAGAACGAGTCATACAGCAGTGAGCAACTGAGATTCGCTTATTTGTGATACATGAATGAAGTCATTTGACCTCGCATGACTCATTTCCTCTACAGAGTACATACACAACAAGCTGAATCAGCAATTAAATCTGTTAACAGTCCTGACAGGCATCCGCATTGTTGATCATTCACGACTGCATGTTGCTCTGACCTGACTTAGTGTAAAATATTTATTTTTATCATAATTGTATCATGCCTGATTTCCTTATTGTACTGTGACTGAGTGCCAAAAATCCAAGATTCAGACTGATATCAGGACTGATTCGTTTGATTCATTTTATGAGTATTTTCAAAGATACTATTGAAAATCTCACTTCGGCCATGATGAAATGAACCTCCTACTCTTTCTGTAATAGTTATCATGAAATTTGCCTCATTTTGATTAAATTTTACACCCATAAAGGATTTCACTCCCAATTATTATTTGTCAATGCTGTAGAATACAGTGAATTCATCTCAGTGAGTCAGTGTTCATGTTATAGTCACACAAAAAAATAAAATATTGAAATGTGCAGCAGTTTGTTCTTGGTTTTAGTTATGATGTCATCCTTGAGCTGCATTCTTATGTGGGAGTGTTGCTATTAAAGAATTCCAATTACAATGACTATTTACCATTTATACAAGTATGATGTGATTAGTAAATAGCCAAGATCCTGTTTGCACATACTTTCTAGTTTTAAGATTAAATTATTTATTATCATCCATCAAAAAATGGCACAAAGTGCTGTTCAGTAATGATCTCTATTACTACCACGCAATGTATAAATGGTCAGCCCATCTGACTAATGCACTATAACATCACAATGAGTGTGAAACTATTCATGAAATAGGTCAGAGTCATTCCCTTAAATAAATTCATTTCTTGAGAATTAGTGATCTATGATGATTCCACATGGCTGCCACCAATCTCAATAATAATTATATTCATACTAGTATGGTCCTGCCTCTTTGTCATATTAAAGATATCATGTTCCGTATCAGAGCATATTATGTACACGTTTTGAGGAAGAGAAGGCTGAACATTATAACATTAATATGCATGTACATTAATTGAGTTTATCACATAAAAACTAATAGTTAACTGAATTCAGGGACTAATACAAATACAAAGTAGCTTAAGAATGACAGTGTAAAAAAGCCCCAAAAGAAAAACCAGAGCAGAGCAATGATGTCCAATATTAGAGCAGCTTGACCAAACCTCTTAGCTTGTAAATAATGATAAACACCTTTTGCTCTATGCACCCAAGACTATAAAATACAACAAGCAATAATAGAATACATGTACATACAAGTACACTATCAATAGAGATAAGCATTGATATGTAGATGACAATGAAATCAATAGGCTCATCACACCCAGATTTTTTACAATAGAAAAATATGCAATTTCGATTTAAAATGCTTCATAGTAAAAAGCAAATTCCCTTTTGTGGACACACAGTGTCATAATGGAATATTAAATGACTATGCGGTGCATAATACAATATATGACTATTATACTTACAAGTATTGAACAGATTATGGCAGCAACAGTGAAGAAGATTGTAGTGAAGCTCATAATAGGACAGACAATAGCGATAACTAGTGTAGGAATGAAGTAATCGTTAGGAACAAATTCAGGCTGTAAGTGCATAACAGGAGGAGCTGTAGCATACTGCATCACACCTGCCTGGAATACAAATAACATGTAAATCAATTCAGTGACTAATTATTGATGCAATTGGTGTATGAATGTAGAAAGCAATTTCACCTATGTATAATATCAAATTTTCTTCTATACATGTTGTATTGGAGAAATAACAATTAAAATGCCACAACAACTAACCCACCCAGGATTGCCGCATAAATTAGGCCAAAAACCCTGTAAGTACTAGGAATTTCGACAAAAATCACAAGGAAAGAATTATCTCCATTTTTCTGTCATGTACATGTGTACATGTACATATGTATGTCAATAATTTGTGTATCACCTAACTTTAAGCTGATTCCAATCAAATTTTGATTTTTAAATTAATTTTCGAAGTTGCTCAAAATCAGGCCAACTACCAAAAGCTAGGGAATTCTTCATTTCTATGATATTTCAAATGCATTCCAATCAAAATTAGAATTTTATGAAGCAAATGATAGTGCTTGTCAGCTCATTAGGCATTCTGTTTAGCTCACTTAGCATGCTTTGTGGATATGGGAAAACTCTAAACCCACCTATGCTCCTAGTGTAAAGTGGGTGTAGCTACACGTACATGTACAGCAAATAAAAATGGTAGGCTTTGGTAGCTTACAACAGGACAAAGTTTTGAGTTATTTAACAGCCAGATGAATGTCTAAACTGTTCCAAAATGACAAAACAGTAGATAGATTAAGGTGGGTTTACAATAATGATGCTACATCAGTGTACTGTCAATCATTAATAAAACTTGAAGTGGGCGAACAATTTGACTAGAACTAGCAAACTCATTCCACCTTCAAGCACTCATACAAGGATTTCTCATTCATGCAAACTCTTATTAGTATTATTTATCTACCCAGCAAGCTAGTCACTATGATACAACAAAAGGCATCATACAACTGAATTGGCCGCATGAACCATGATTTACCTGAACGGGCACTGATTGTGGAACATTCTTCTCTTCTTGTCGATGAACAGATGGCATCAACATCTTCGATTAAGCTAATTCTGTCTGCTGTATGAGTATCAAGGTACGAGAAATGATGATACGACTGATGAATGAATGTGTATGTTGACACAACATTTTTGAGACTTGAAGGTAAAATTAATTTTATTTGTAGCTCAGAATGTTTCTTATAATTAAAAATAGATCTAATACGGCTGGATCGTAGTAATTGCAGCTCGAATTGGAGTAAACTAATTTGTAGGTTTCAGTCATTATCATAGGATTATCATGTTTGTGTGCTGCTGAAAGAGTTACAGCTAGACGTTGCTTAATGGCAGAATCGGCTCCTGTAAGTCTAATGTTATGAAAGTAGTTAAATCAGCATGGGGCGTCTTTGGGGGGGGGGGCGCTGAGCCTGGCCAGCTGGTGCCGGATCCGCGGATTCCTGGAGAGCATGAAATCCCAGAGCTCAATGCAACCCAAACAAAAGAAGTCAGCCCCCTAAAAATTTACAATATAAAATGAAACTAAATTAGTGGATTTTTATCAGTAAAACTGCACCTGTAGTCAGTATATCTTGCTAACGATTGGCCCTTAATTGTTCAGTGCTCTGAGGCTTGTGCATGCATGTGAAGCTATTAACACTCATTTGTCTATACTCTTTTAAATCTAGTCTTCTAATACTGTAATACTTAGATAGACCCAAGTTAAACACTTATGGTAATAGACTTATACCCAAGCCTATTTCTGAGGAGAGTAAAATTATGGCAAATTGTTAAATTTTTTAATGAATCAGTAATTGGTAATGGGTTTTAATTTGGCAAATTTTTGGCATTGAACATGCTCATAATGGCTCAAAATGCTGAATGATGCGTTTTATTTAGCAAAATGGCTATCAAAATACAGATTTTGCCAATTAAAATTTATTCCTGCCCAGCTAAAGCTATTTGGTGGCTGACATGTGCATGTACATGCAGTGGTGTAGGAAGCAGGGGGGGGGCAGGAGCCCCTCTTGATTTTTACTTCTGCTTTATTAGCTTTGTCTATCAAGTAATTTACTATTGATAGCTTCATTTTAGCCCCCCTTTTCCAAAATCTTCCTACACTACTGACATGTAGTGTGAGTCAGTCCTTTTCATTTATTTAAAGCCTTGTTGCATACTCAATTACCATATCATATGCTAAGATTTATATTATTACCACTAATTTTGTTTCCTCCTCAAACAGAAGCTATGTAAGTGTCACTGATCAAAGTAACACACATTCTATAGACTTAAGTGTGTATACCTACTAATGCAGTCAGACACCCAAGCAAGTTCATCATAACATTTCACTGATAATTTTTTTCAATATGTTTTGTTTGTATATCAAGATCCAAATTTTGGACTAATATACAGTACAGAACTGACTAACTCACTTTTTAGCATGATAATATTATTTGTGACAACTGTCAAGCTATTAATAGTGTTGATCCTGTTTGCAAGCAATGTGTATTTATTAAGTTGGGTGAGAGCTTAATTACAAATGTAAGCATTATGATTTTAACAGCTACTGCATATGCTGAAATTAATATTGTCAAGTTAAATGTATTGATGTCTATGTTCATTAAAATGTAACAAATTCCTTACAGTATCTTGAGCTCTTGTAAAAAGCAAGTTTTTTAAAATCTCATTATTATTTAAAATGTTGAAAGTTGAAACTGTTATATCGAATTTCCAACTAATAAATGATGATCGCCTAAGTTTGCCATATTTATAACAAATAACCAGCCTTTTTATGGGCTTTTGTTGCCATGTAACAGGCTGTAACTTGTAACTTTTGTAAATGCCTTAAGTTAATAATTACATGAAACAACTGGTTGCCAGCAACCAAGCAACATGTTGCCAAGAAAAGATCAACTTCTATTCTTGGCAACATGTTGCTATAAAAGATCAAAGTAGCACCTACATGTGCAGCAACTATTAGTGCCTCATGTCCCTTTTAGGAAGACAAACTGTTGCAATCAGCAGAGAATGGGGATCAGAAGCGTGTATTGAAGGCCCTTGAAGCTAATGCTGATATCAAATGTATCAATGAAGTTAGTAACTTACCATACAGCGGAAAATTTTTGTGGCCCAAAAATTTCATGAATTTTGCATTTGGTTCAAAATTCACGAAGCAAAAATGGATTCAATATGGTTTAAGATGGCCATAAAGTAGAAAATCATGAAAATTAAAGCCATAAAATTGATTTTTGAACAGATTCACAAAATTTTTGGGCCACAAAAATATCCGCTTTACGGTACTGTTACCATCATGTTAGGTAAAGTGATCTAATTACATGTATATGTGTTACTATGTATTATAGAGTAAAGAAACAGCTTTACATTTAGCAGCAAGAAAAGGACATCTTGAAATAGTTGAAATATTACTTACTAAAGGTGCCAATGTTACGTTCAATTTTAATGACAAGGTAACAGATAGTCTCTAAATTATATTTTTGAGGCATATAGAAGTATTTATATGACATACCATAAGCAAATTATTTTGTGGGAATAAAATAAAAGTTTTAATCATTTTAAAAAATAATTTAGAATCTTTATAAATTAATCATTTTTGGTTTGTGCAAGCTGACAAGTTGGAGCACTTTAAATCGTGTTAGAAATAATTTTACAAACAGTTTGTTTTACGATAGTAATAATTCACAAATTTTGATGAGGTCACAATCATTTTTGTATTATTTCTGCTTTACTTAAATTAAATTTTATTAATGTTTTATTACAGAACAAATGGACTCCACTTGATGTTGCAGTTAAAGAAGGTCATGAAAAAATAGCTAAACTATTAGTTGAAAAAGGATGCCCTGTGACAAATGTAAGTAATCCAGAGTATGTACCAGAAACTAATGTACCTTATAGACTGCAATGAAATTTGCTGCTCAAGCTGGTCTAATTTCTACTATTAAATTTGTGATTGAGAACAATGATATTGACCTAGCTGATTGTGTTGATGAGGATGTAAGTCAAAGTTTAAAGGTATTACTGTCTACAACTTTATTTTTGTGTGCCCTATAAGGATGGACAAACACTCTTACACCATGCAGCAGAATATGAACACACAGATGTTGTTGAACTGTTACTTAATGGAAAAAGAAGAGTCGATGTTAACTGCAAAGACTTTGTACAGAAATTAATTTTTTTAATTGCAATGGTTTATTTTATTGCACATAGTTTCGCATAAGACCAATTCATTTAGCAGTTCAAAAAGGAAATATTACTATTGTTCAGATGCTAGTGGATCATAATGCTGATGTAAATTGTAAAGATTTGGTGAGTTGTTAGAATGCATTTCTACTAGTTAATGGTTATTATCATATTTAGGATGGAATGGCACCATTACATCATGGTTTTAAAACTAAAAACCAACCAGTTGTTGAACATTTACTTTATTATTGTGAAGCTAATCCTGATATTTGTGATAAAGTTAGCTACTTTAATATAGTATGACTGCAGCTTATAACTGTACATTGTATCTAGGACAACAAAAGTATCTTATACTTTGCTATAGACATCATCGTAAGCTTTGTAATTACCACTAATTCACCACTTTTAAACCACACTCTGCTTGTTAATGTTGTAGTTATTGCAAATGAATAATCTACCATAAACTGATTACAATGCATATTGATTCTTTTAAAAGTTATATATCACCATTTTTAGTCATAATTATAAGGCAAGGAACTCATTGTATTCTTCCTCTTTCTACAGCATTATCTTCAAAATCCATTGAACAAGGAAGATTCAGAATATGACAAAGTACATAATAATTTGTCTTGTCACTTATATAATGTTACACATGTAGGACAAATTAATTAGAATATTTGAGATAATTGTAAGAAAAGCTGATGTCAATATTAAAGATAAGGTGACTGCTATGCATGGCATATTATGCATAAACATAGATTACTGTGTGTACCCTGTTCCTCTGTTAATGTTTAATTTAGGATGGAAATACACCACTACTATATGCAGTTCTTGTATGTTCCGTTAGACTAGTAACTATACTGTTGGAGAATAAAGCTAATCCTAATATCAGGAATAATGTAAGATAATACAAGTATAACATGTAGTCTCATGTTAAGTGCCAAATACATGTATACATGTACTACAATTTAGTCATAAAATACTCATTTTGTTTTTCTAATTGCAATTGCATGGTATAATAGTGGTGTGCATGATTACAGTAATGTGCTATTAAGAATTTATTAGCATTTCTAATATAGAAAGGACATATAGCTCTTCAGTATGCTGTAAGTCAGGAAAACTTGACAATTCTAACACTTTTACTGGATTATAATGCAGATCTAAATGCAAGAATGACAGTTAGCTGTGTATTATTTTCTTTCGATTTTTTACTCAGTTCTTTTTAGAAAAAAGAAGAACGTTTTAAAAATGACCCTATGTCAAGAGTTAAGGTGTAGTTTTATTTTTAAATTACTATGATTTATTTTATTAATAGATGGATGAAACAGCTCTGCACTTCATCATTAGACTAAAATTTTCAAGTGACTTTTATAAGCTCCTTTTAAACAGAGGGGCTGATTTAAAAATTTGTGATGCAGTAAGTGATGCCTTTCATTATACATGTATTTCTATCAGTCATGTAATCAATTACAGTTAGATAGTTTTATTTTGTACAATTGCAGGATGGATATACTGCTTTATACTATGCAGCAATGAATAAAGATTATGATTTGGTAATATACTTAAATACTAAAGGAGCTGACATTAAAGTCAAAGATACAGTATAAAAATATAAGCACATGTAAATATAGCTCAATAAATATTATGATCATTTAGAATGGCTTAACACTATTGCATCATGCTGCAATAATGAATAGCGAACGCCTGACTGAAATAGTCCTTGCAAACAAAAAACTGGATGTTAATATGGCATGCAAGGTTATACAATTTATATTCATAATTGTAATTATGAGTTAGCGATCATACAGAAAGGATACTCAGCATTGCAGTATGCATTAATGAAGGAAAGAGAAGATGAGGAAGATGACAAATATTGTAGTGATTTTGAAAAATATTCTATATGCTCATTGCTTATTGAGAGAGGAGCTCAAATTAATTGCAAGAATGAACAGGTAACTTGATGTTATCATAATTTAGAATACTTTTTATAATATTAAAGGATGGAATGACTCCACTGTTGTATGCTGTATTAAGAAAGTACACAAAAATAGTTGAAATCATAATTGATGCTTCAAAAGAGCAAGGCATTAAACAAATTACTATTCAAGCTACAAACAAGGTATGAGCATAAAATAATAATTATTAGTATTGATTATTTATGATAATTGGCAAGCTGTCACTATAAATATTTCAATGCTTTTATTTATAGAAAAAAATGACTGCTTTGCATATTGCGATAAGTAATAAAGATGAAGATATACTAAATTTGTTATTAGATAGTGATCATGTTTTAAATGAACCTGATGAGGTGATTTTATATAATTTTTGCTTATGTCAATAGTAATAATTTCTAGAATGGTATGTCTCCTTTGCACTGTGGTTCATTTCATGGTTTTTTACCTGATAATCTTCTTCAGCACAAAAATTTTAAAAAATGTTTGAATTACCAAAATGAGGTTTTCTGCATGATATGCATAGTTAATTAACAAAAAACTGATTGTATTATTTTAGAATACTGGAAAAACAGCTTTACATTATGCTGTTGAATGTAACAATAAAGATGAAGCTGTTATACTGCTTGATAAAGGAGCAAATTTATTTCTTGAAGACAATGTAAATTGCTATAACATTTCAAAAAATTATTTTTCTTTTATAGGATGGTCATAGCTCACTGTATTATGCCATTAAAAACAAATTTCAATCAATCATTGATTTATTTTTTTATCATGCATCAAAGGTTAGTGTTATGTACTCAATGTGTTATTATTTCGTTGAATACAATAGCATTGTGATGAAATTGATGGACATCAAATCAGTGGATGGCTTCCTCTTCATTATGCAATTCAATATGACAATTTTTCTACTTTTTGTGTGATGGTTGAAAAGCACTTTGTACTAGATATGGAAATGAAGGTTTATAGTATCTTCATAAAAATTGTAATTGTATTATTCATAGGGCTGTTGGACTCCACTTCATATTGCATCTTGTAGAGGTGTTGCTGAAGTAGTTGATTTCATAGTTGGTAAAATATCTTCAATTGATTATGTCAATAAATTGCAGGTAATTTTGTTAGAATTAATTTATACCTAAACAATGATTGTACTATTATAGGAGTCAAATAGCACTGCTATGCATTTAGCTGCTAAGAATGGCCATTATGATATTGTGAAGCTTCTTCATGAACATGGTGCTGATGCTGTTATGAACTATAAAGATGCAGTTTAGTTTATCAATTTTTTACCAAGAGTATGTAGTTTCACTAATTTTGATTATTTATAGTATGGAATGACTCCATTAAATTACATTGTGGAAGCTCAATCTTGGGATTTTCTTGATTCTCTGAATGTTGGCAAAGAAAGTAGCCTAAGGAATCTCTCTGATGTACCACATTACTCAAAAGTAACCATTGATATTACATAATATTACGTAATATTGTAGTATGAGAGTGCTGCCATACTGTATGCTGCACATAAAAATGAGGAACAGATTGTGAAGCGTCTCATATCAGTTGGAGCTAATGTTGACAGTAAAGATAAGGTATACATTTACATTACTGGTCAAGATTTTATTACTAACATTTAATTTTTTCAAGTTCACATGTGTAAAAAATATATTCATTTTATTTAAAGTTTTTCACTATTAATTAAGTTACATTGCATATATTGTAATAGTATACTGGAAATACACCACTACACATTGCTGCTGAAAATAATTATTTTGAAATTGTGAAGCTATTACTCAGTTTAAAAGCTAATCCTAATAGTGAAGACAAGGTTAGTGTTAACAAAAGCTGCAATAAATCAATGTGCCATTTTTTAGTCAGGAGCTCGTCCAATGAATATGAGTTATAAAGCTGGTGGTAAGGAAGTATATAATTTAATCAAGTCAGCAGGTGGAGTGTTTAATTTTGTAAGTTAAATGTGTTGAACTTGATAATAAAAGTAGTATTATAATTTTTTCCCAATCCTTATTGCAGTTATTATTTTTATTCATAAATTAATAGGATCATCTGCTTTTAGATAGTTCAGATGTAAATGATGTCACCCAAATGAAGACTTGTTTAGAAAATGGTGCTGAAATTGATTATTATGACAAGGTTCTATAATTTTTTGTCTCAAGTGTATATTATACAAATAAGCGAATGTAGATCTACTGCATGATGTAGTTACTATATTTAGACATATGGCATGGTAATAGGTATGGAAACAGTAGTAGCATAATATACAGTAATAGATACATATGTAAGGGCATTTTACCAAAAGTAACAAGCATAGATGAGAGTAGGGTTTCCTACAAAGCATAATCAGCATGTTTTGTGAGCTGACAAAGGCATTTGGAGCAACTTTAAAAATTCTTTTACAAATCAATATTTATCAGGACTGGCTCAAAATTTTCATGCAATAATATAAGTACATGCATAAGTGTCAGAAAAATTATTAAAAATGGAAAATTATCTCCTAGCCATTTATGAGCAACTTGCAAAATAAAATTTGACTGCACAACATAAGGATATATACATCAGAAATAAAGATCAAAGCATTTTTTTACAAAATTTGGCCAAAGGATAATAGCCTTTGGTTGTAGGCCCTATTTTAGCAACTTTAATAATTCATAACAAATCCATATTTCATCATTTGGAATCATCTCAAATTTTCTACACATTGTAAGTACATTTATATGTATTAGAAAAAGTATCAAGTTGAGAATTCTATCATAGTCCTAATGATTTTTGTTGAAATACCGTATAAGTAGTTTTTTAAGGTTGCAAATCAAAAAATCAAAGCACCTCACTGCAGTATAATGAAATTATGATGCATTCATTGACTCTTCAACCTAATGTTTTTATGTGTTCTAAAATATGCTTTATAAATTAGGATGAAAGAACTGCTTTACATTATGCTGTACTAAATAACCATTTTGATTCGGTTCTTTTTTTGATTGAAAATGGATGTAATATAAACTGTCAGGACAGAGTTAGTAGGATAATTCCATATTACTTACTACTTATGGCTATTTATAGGGTTCATTTACAGCAGTTCATTATGCAGTAATTAATGGGTACCACAAAATTCTTGAGACTCTGATTAGTAACAATGCTGATTTAAATGTTAAAACTGAGGTTAGTGTCATTGCCTTAAAAGTAATGAATAACATTATACGATATCATTTTATTTCAGTTCCATGAAAAAACTGCACTTCATTATGCAGTTGAAAGTTTAGATATTCTTTCTTTTGAGTTACTTATAAATAGCCAAGCAATTAATGTCAATGAAAAGGACTGGGTATAGTTCATTTCAATTGATTGCACCATTGATTTATTTTTGTAGAAAAGTATTACTCCGCTTCATTCTGCTGCTCAGCTTGGCTGTGCTGATATGGTCCAAAGGTTATTGAATAAAAATGCTAATGTCAACTGCAGGGACATGGTACACATTATTTGATTGACTTAATCTACTCTTGGTCCACTAATTTATCTATATTTTTTTATAGTTTGATTTAACTCCATTGCACTTTGTGTGTGATTCACAAGATGGCCGTAAGGACATTTTACAGTTATTATTAGAAGCTGGAGCTGACCCTCATTTGAAAGAGCTAAGGGTTAGTTCAGACTTGTAATGTGTCAATAATGTAAAATTTTGTATGATTAATTCTATTCTTATAAAATTTCAGTTTTCTAACATTATAATGATATCTTTCTTGTATCACTTATTTCATCAAATAATGATGCATTTCAAATACCATTTTCATGCATGTAACTTTTCAAAAATATTTTTTTATATAGTTTCAGCATACTCCTTTACACAAAGCAGCTGTTCAAGGCCATTTTGAAATTATTTCATTTTATTTAACGAAAGCAACTAAAGCATTGATAATAAATGACAAATGTCAGGTATGATAACATATTTATACAAAAAATATGCATCAAAATATATGCACTTAATTCCTGTCCACATTGAAGATTGATTTTCATACAGTTTATAAAGAAACTTCCATGGACGAAAAGCCTAAGAATACTTTGTACTCATTATGATTCTCATGAATATGAGATTAGTTGTGAGGTATATGCATAATAATTATTTTCAGGAGCCCATGAAAAGGTGGGCTCCTGCTATTGTGTAGCTATTAAAAGTGTATAATTATAGTCTCATGAATCAAAAACTGCTCTGCACCTTGCTGCAGAGAATGGTCATGCCAAAGCTGTTGAAGTTTTATTAAATCACAATGCCAGCATTGATATTGCTGAAAGTGAAGTAAACAAAGTGCAATAATTTTCACAAATGAAACATTTCTTAATAGACTTTTAAAACTGCTTTACATCTAGCTGCTGAAAATGGGCACAAAAGTGTTGTCAAAGTACTAGTTGAAAGAGGAGCTAATCTACGAAAGAAGGACTATGTAAGTTACTCAAAACATCCTTTTACTAACATTTTCTTACCATAATATAGACTAACAAGATTCCATTTCATTATGCCATTAAGTATCACAAAAAAGATAAAGAACTAATTGAGTTGCTGACTGTTGACAATTTCAATTTGGTATGAGGAATTAAAACTGTACATGTGTGCATGATATTATCTAAAATTTCATTGCAGCAACATTAATTTTTGTTATGTAGAAATTATTTGATAATGAGGAGTATGAGGAGATTCATGATGCAGGAGTATGTGGCAGGCTTGATATTGTCAAATTAAATGAAGCAAGCATAAAAAAGCCTGATGAAGTAAATTTAGACTATGTATTGATCCATTTTTGATAATTCCTTACACTTAAATCAGAGGGGCAGAACTGTATTTCATTATGCTGCTGAGAATGGTCATTTGAATGTTGTACAATATTTGCTGTCAGTTTCAGATCCTGAAATAGAAGACAATGTCAGTTATTGCATGTCATGCATGTGTAATAAAAACTTCTTTATAGTTTGGCTATACTCCACTCTATTTTGCAGTCAGTAAAGGTTATCCTGAGATAGTTTTATGTCTATTACAAAGTTTGAGAGTTGACAAGGATAAAAAATATGGTTTGTGCACACTTTTATTTTAATTCTGCATGAGGTCTGGTTGTCTCAGAAAAATAATTATTGGCCTATTTAACTTCCAGTTAAGTATTATTTATGATTTATTAGGATATTGTAACCAAACATTACTGCACATTGCAGCTGAAAAAGGCTTCAATATAATTGTGCAACATTTGTTGCATAGCGGAGCAGAGTGTAATGCTATTGATGAAGTAAGTTTAAATTATTTTTATTACTGAGAAAAACAAATAATATAATAATTTAAGCATTGAAGTACCAATTAACCTCAAATGAAATCTTAGATTTTGTATTTTTAGTATTATAAAAAAACACCTTTACACGTTGCAGCTGGAAAAGGTCATGAAAGGATTGTTCAGTTGCTTTTGGAAAATGGAGCTAGCATTCATATTAAAGATTATAATTCATTCACATATAATCAAAATAAAAAAGATGCAACTATTCATTTGTCTTACACTCCTTTACATTATGGTGTTGAAAGTGGGAATATTAAAACAGTTCAGTTGTTACTTCAGAAAGGAATTCCCCTGAGGTATAAGGTATGTTATCGTAAAGCAGTGACTAAATTTTTACTTTTGTCTATTTTTTACTTTTGGTAACTGTTAATCAATTAATATTGTGATTTGTTTATGCTACAATTATGTTTCTGTGTCTGAATACTTAAATGTTTTTGAAATGACAAACGGGGCTTCTGTTAAAATCATTTAGTATGCAATATTTGCTGTAGCCAGGAGTGCATGGTGATGTGCTTCCATGCATTAGCCCAATAATAATGTTATTATTATTCTTATGGCCCCATTAAAAATGTTATATATACATGTATTAGGAAAGCTGGAATAAAGCCATCACAAATGCTGCATGCAAGGGGTATGCTGAAGTTATACAGTATTTAATTCAAACAGAAGATTTTGATATAACGCTCAGCGTAAGTTACAAATTTATGTGACAATTATTATGTATCTTATAAATAGCATTCACCATTCATCTATCTTAATTGCTTTGAATTGATGCAATCCTTTGGCGCTATCATGTAGCCTATGCAACAGTGAAGTATAATTGAACTGATATTGCTTAATGAGCTATCTATCACATAAACAACTTGGGCCTTTACTTAATTATGGTTTTTTCAAAAATATAAATTTAGAATATTGAGTTTTGCATAAAATTTATTTGTTGATTTTTTTATTTTATAGGATCAATGCACTACTCCTCTCTATTATGCAATACTGTATTGTCAAAAAGAAGTGATCCGTCTATTCTTATCTTATACTATTAGTATCTCATCACTGGTACAATGATTTTACTAGCAAATGAAAATTTCATTTTTATGTAGAATTTTGGACCCATGCATATTGCTGCTGAACATGGATTGATAGACATTGCAGAGTTGCTTAGGGAACATGAAGTAGGTGTTGATGATGAAGACAAAGTAAGAACTCGTTTCTCAAATATAATATAGCCTTATGTAAAATAGTATGGTTTACGACCACTCCATTACGCATGCCGAGCAAACCAGGTAGAAATGGTTGATTATTTGTTAAGAACTGGTGGTGTAAAGGATCCTATGAAAGTCTCAAAAGAAGGACTTTCCCCTCTTGATGTGATAGCACCAGAGTCAACTGCTCGCACAAAATTACTTCAACTCTTTCGTCCTTATGTTGACAGTCACACAGATTACCCTATTGAAACTTATGCTAAGGTATTTATGTGTGGCTACTCTACTGCTGGTAAGAGCTCTCTCAGTCAAGCTCTCGTTGATCGCTCCAAGAAGCCCCTTGGTTATAAGTTTAGTCCATTGGAAAAGGTTAAAGATGTGACACCGTTTACTGTAGGCATTGATTTACACACTATTAGCAGTCCTGAGATTGGAAACATTGTATTATATGATTTTGCTGGCCACACAGAGTTTTACAGTAGTCATGCTGGCATACTTGAGAATCTGATGCTACACTCACCTGGAGTATTTGTTATAATAGCTGATCTTACAAAGCCACGTAGCAAAGTGCAAAGCGAATTATTCTATTGGCTTAACTTTATCGAAAATGCATGTGCTAAGCTACCTAAACCTTCTCAAGTTATATTGGTGGGTAGTCGTGCAGACAGTTTTTCCAAGCATGGGTTAGAATTCAAAGCTGACATGAATGGTATAGTAGAAGAGGCTGTTGTGAAGCAAATTTTCAAAGGATATTGTGCTCTAGAATGTCATAAACCAGGTGGCATTGGCATTAAAGATTTTGTATCAATTCTTGCCACAAGTTGTGAAGAGGTAGTCAATCGATCTGATGGCATCAGCTACTACTGTCACCTCCTTTATTCCCTTCTCAAGGATCTCAATGAGATTGCCATTACATTTGAAAACCTTTCAATTAAAATTAAAGAGAATTCTGAAGTTACTATCCCTGATGATCCAGCATTTCTTTCTAATACTCTATTAACCCTCAGT